ATTTCTAAGGGGGCCCAAAAAAAACCCCCCCGAGGGTGGCAAATTTTCATTTTAAGCCTACTGGCGACTAGCAAACCATTTTCAAAAAAACATGAGATGTTTTGTTCCAATTCAGGCGATCTAGTCTTATACTTGTATGCTCCGCACATCACATAGTAAAATCTAGGCTAATAACCGGAATAAAGAACGCATAGTGTTGTCAAAACTCGATATCATGGTTAGTAGAGGGCCGATCTTTGATCGGCGAGCGGGGGTGCTCACGATAGTGACCTTCCCCAATCGTACCCAAGTTCCCGAGCCGAGGCAACTTTGGTGATGACAAGCACTGTGGCCTTGGGCAACGAGTCAGGGTTTCCTAAATTCCACCAAAATAAATATTTGGTGTGCGACTCTATATCTAGCAAAACAGTCCATGTTTGGCACTTCTTTTCAAAAAAAATTGGTTTCAAAAACATTTGCTGGATTTGGACTCTTTTGACGGTTCATCGGTCTTTGCATTGCACTCTGGCGAGATTAGATGCAGGACCGTGACATTGAGTCCTGAACTGTTACTGAGCCCAATATGAACAAAACGGCGGGATTTCCCCCTGGGACATTCGGGACGTCTGCACATTTATTTTCACATTTCTTTTTCAAAGCATTTTATGCACTTTCTTTTCAAAGCATAGAGAAAACGTAAGTAATTATTACTTTGATAGTTCACTCAATCATCTTTCTCCATCTCCCTCTTTCTTACACTGTGGCAATTTTGAAGTCATCTTATTGAGGCAAAGAACCGTCAACACAATCGCTTAATAATTGGTTTGAATTTAATCTGTAAAGATTTTTCAATCTTTACTGACACGCTCGCATTTATGGATTTTCCTTCGTAGGAAAAATAAAATAACAAAATCATTATAAGAATAATTTTTTAAATATATATATATTAAATATGTAACACGACCAATAATTAATTGAAAATCTTAGATGCAGAGATGTATATTTGAATCACGATAATTGCCAAATATTTGAAAAGAGCTAGGCCTAGGACAGAAACAAAAGTTAAAATTTGACTGACATGGCGACATCTCTTTAATCTTTCAACTGATAAGGAAGGTCTTTCCACAATTCTTTGTAAGGAAAACCAGTTCAAATGATTTGGAATACCCCATAGAAGAGTGTGTATATGTATGGGAATTGGCTGAAGAAGCTTAATGCTTGGTGTCTTTCCTCCTTCCTTTTTGAGTCTTGATAGAGCAGACTGTTTGTCCTGGCTTGTGCATATACAAATCATAGTGGTTCTCTGTTGTCTCTTTTACTCTCTTAGTAGCTCATTTCGACCCCAATCTCAGAATCTGTAAAATCCATTTGGATAGAACTACTCCCCCAAGGTTCATATTTTTCTGTTGGCTGGCATGGAAAAACAAAATCAAATCTGCAGAATTTTTGCACAAGACTTTGGCTTCTGGATAGTAGGTTTTCCATCTTTGCCCCTTCTGCAGAGTTGAACCTAAATCTGCTGTTCATGTTTTGCTTCTTTTGCCCTTTTTCTTGGTAATATGGTCTTCTTTTATTCATGATTTGGGGATTTTACTGGATGTATCAATAACTCTGTGGAAAGGCCTTCTCAATTGGGTTGGATGGTAGATCGAAGAGCTTTGATAGGCTATTTGGAGAGCTATCCCCCTTATCTTTGGTTCTCTTTGGAAGCACGGAATGAATGTTGTCTTCTCTTGAGACTCAACCCATTTCTTTAGCTGTGTAAATTAATCAAAAATCAGAGCAACTTTTTGGTTGAAAAAGCATCTATTAAGAACTTCCCATTCTCAATTGATGATTATGTTTTTCAAATGGAATCAAATCAGCTTTGTTCCTGACTCCACAATTGGTCTTTGCCTTTTGATCCTCCTACTCTTCTCAGCTGATCTATTAGCCTATTTGATGCTTGTTCTGATCTGCTAGTCTGCTTTACTGATCTGTCTGGGTGATTTTTGGTTGAGCTAATCTGTCTGCTGATCTGTCTGGGTGTATTTCATCATCAGTGGTCCTCTGCTTCAGAGCTCTATTTGCTGATTGTTTGCCGTGAAGTGAAGGAAATCAGTTGATATCTGATTAGAATTTGCAGATATTTCATATGCATTTGGAAGGGAGATTATGGTTTCTGTGGGGTGTTTTTGGATGGGGATGCAACTGATGACGTGTTTTTGTTGGTCCTGCTACTATAGTGAGACTGTCTATAGTTGGTTGCAACTGCTCATAGTGAGACTGCAACTGGTTTTTGGTGGTCTGCTGCTAGTAGCTCTTTCTACGGTCTGCAACTGATCTGGTCTACCGTGCTGGTTCCTGGTGCTGCTATGTTTGGATTGGTTGCTGCTGTGTTAGGAGTTCAGCTGGATGCTTTGAATGGGTTTTGTGTGTTGTATGCTTGTTTGATGGCTGATTGGGATGAATGCCAATGTGTTAGGTGGTGTAAGGATGAATGTCTGTGTGTTGTTGGTTGTTGGAGTTGCCTCAGCTGCTTCTATCTGATTTTTTTTGTTCTCTTTTTCTCTGTATGGTTGTTGTTGGTACGCTTTTTGCTTTCCTTTTTGTTGGTTTCCTCACCAACTGCGCTGGAGCTTCATGTTAGCTCCAAGCTCCTCTTTATTGATGTATCTTATCATAATCTTGCTTATGTTTCATCAATAAAGATTTATTTGCCGATAAAAAAAAATGTTAGTTATATGTAGCTGGCTTTCTTTAGTCTCAAATATGCGATGAGTCTGGCAATGGATTTTGGTGAGCTCATTACGAAATTTACATGATATTTTAAAATTATTTAATGTGTAAAGATTTGTTTGAGTATTTTATTTTGTTAAAAATTACATTAATGAAATATTAAGTAAAGTGTAATTTAAAAATAAATTTATTGAAAAAATGTGATCTGATCAAGTGGCCTATTGATAACTATCAACATGAGTTTTACAGGGATGAAATACTTGATGAGCCACACACATTTGAATGGTTTAGATTATCAAAAATGCGACTGAATTGGAACCTCTAAATTCAAAATACGAAACTAGAGACAGTCCGGCCCTAGTTATATGCATAGATAATTATTATTTTATTTATTTTTTTACTTATTAATCAATTTTGTTTTAATAATTTTTGTATGTATCGTTCTACATATATTAAATAATTTTCAAATATTAAATCTTGAGATTGGCCTCAAGTAGTGTACCAAATGAAAATTTTATGTATAAGGCCTCGTTTGGGGAGTTGATTATTTTAGCCAAAAAGTCAAAAAGTTACTAAAAGTTGTCAACATCACTCTCTACTTTTCTGGCACTCTTTTCGTAAAAAGTTCAAAAAGTACTAAAGTACATATGTTCCCAAACGAGGCATTAGAAAGAACCGTTTAAATTGAATTTAGTTCGGGTCATGTGTTCCATTTTTTTGACATATGTTTGGGAGTTTAGTATCAAAACAACAAAAAAACAAAAAAAAGAACCGTTTTCATTTTAATTTATTTTATTTTATTTTATTTCTTCTTGTTTTGAAAAAATTATCATTAGAAAGTCAACCTCCTCCAAATTGTGACATCTCTAAGCTTATTATTATGAGGATCTATTCGTACTGTGATTATTAGGGTTTGTTGAGAAAAATTTTTACTGTTATTGCCATTACTGGAGAAGTGTGTACTTTGAATAGTTCCGGCCGTTTTTCTTGCCCATTGTCACCATGAGGTTTTGAAGGTGTATAGCGTCTTGAGGGTTTTGAAAGTGTGGTGCTTGTGATGGATGTGGGTGGTTTCATTAATCCTATGTTTATGATTTAGTGTGTCCGGTGTGGTTTAATATTGAGATGAGGTATTTCAAAAATAATTCATGTCATTTTAATTAATTTCATTTGAGATTATTATTGTAATAATAAAAAATGAAGAAATAGGAGTCCAAAGCATTAATTGTAGTGCTAATAGTAGCACCACAATTTTAAAATGAAAGTGACTACCATGTGCAACTATTGGGGGTGTTATGGTATACACTTTATGGTAAAAAGTATCTATAATAATATACACTTTTATCACAAAAATGTATTACTTTTTGTCACAAGAAGCATAACTTTTTTTTTCTTCCAAAAAATATTACTTTTTGCTTCTCACAAAAAAATTTATAATTTTTAGTTTTACATAATTTTATATGCACATCATAATTTCACGCATTTATAATTTTCATCACAAAATTAATAACTTCATTACAAAAATAATTCGTAACATTTTTCAAAAAATATCATAACTTATCTGAAATAGGATACATAAATCTCATTAAAAATCTGCAACCAATTAGGGTTGCCTCAAGGTAAATATAATTTTAAAGTTATGATCTTGGTTTGGGAAGGGGGTTGGGCTACAATAGCCCACCAAAAGACAAATAAGCATAAAAATTAATTAGTAAGATAAATGTCAATATTCAACTCAGATTTATTTTTTTTTTCTCTCGGAATCATCTCAGAGTCAGAACGTTAAAAAAAGCAAAGAAACTTTTCATGTAGCAATTTTTTTAGACAGCGTTAGAGAAAATCGTCTATAAAAATCTAAGAATAGGCAACTAATAAATAGTCAAACTTTCTCTATAACAAGACCTTGCATTAAGGCGCTTTTTTTATTTAAAAAAGAATGACATGGACAATAAGATTCAACCTCGTATATGTGGTTGTCTTGCGGTATCGCTTTAGAAATTTATTTTATCACTAATTACTTAACAGTGGTTTAACTATTTGTTTTGGTAGTCAGGCATTGATTAGATATTATTCTTCTTCGTCCAAAAAAAAAAAAAGTTTCTATATGCCCTTGAAATTAATGACCACCCACAATTGACTTTCAGATAAATGGAAACAGATTTCCTATGTGTCTTGCTCTAAATCAAATTAAACCATGTTCCAATCCAATGTTCCCAAAAAACACTAACACCCTAAAGTTTTGGAGCGCACATTCCGATATATGTTACACTTTCATTCCAACACAGTAAATTAAGCGATTTTATTTTTTATTTTTTTGTACTTCGTTAAAAGTTCTTAATAGAGAAAATGTCAAATATAATAATCTAAAATCTAGGTGAAGTTTTGGATTGACAAAATTTAAAACAATGGGTCATATATTGCTTCATAAAATTGTGTTGTTGAACGATTAATTTGAAGAACGATTTGGGTTCTAAGTAACATAGCCAGTGCAGAGTATGAGTCATCCATGATAATCTCAAGGGAAAATATGATAAGACAGCCAAAGTTAGAGCTGGAATTAACGATTTAAGCATAGAAGATTTAGACGGGTTTTACAAGGATTACTTTACAGCAAGTGGCTAACAAAGCTGAGCAGTGCGATTTAAAGAAATATGCAGCTGCTCTCAGAGCATTAATGCCACACACAAGTATAATGAGTTCGTGCAATATATGAGCGTCCAATTCTTTTGTCCATGCCTCCAAAATGAGAAACAATAAAAGCCCAAAAAAAGAGTGCAATTTTTTCGTCTCCTTAACTCAACTTAGCATTTGTCTTACCTGCAAAGTCCCCCATGCTGTCTTGTAGCAATCAGAGAGAGTAAGTCTCAAATTGACTCTAAGGCTTTCTTTATCAGTGAGATCATCAATCATTTCTAGTATAATTTTATAGATTCAAATAACCATAACAGTAAAGTACTTAAAGACCTAAGCCATTGAGGATTAACATCACCACTAGCACATTCGATGAAACTGATGTCAAAAGATTGAGATTAAATGGTTACCTTGTAGAGTTGCTCTGTGATAGCGGACCCAATGACCCCAGTATAGAAAGCAAGGATATAGATCGTGACAAGAGGAGTGAAAGATTTGGGTCTCCTGTATGGGTCAACCATGTCCCAAAGAATAGTTTTTTCCCACTTTGAGTACACATAATCTGCATATTTCCTCCACAAATAGCTTGCCATTTTCACAAGTCTTTCTTAGTTTTCCTGCTGGGCTGCATGAATGGATTTTACAGCTTCATTCATAAGAAAGAGGTTTTGCTGCAAAATATGCAGAGTGCAAAACAAGTTTACATTATACAACCCACCATTTCAAAGGACCCCAATAACCTTCCAAAAAAAAAAAAGAGACTAATTAACTAAAAGCTTTTTGACATATAATCAGCCAATTAACAAGCAGATGGACAAAGATACAAAAAGGCAGTTCGTTTGAAAAGAGATCAAGAGAATTTTAAAAAAAAAAAAAAAAAAAAAAAAAAAAACTTTAAGGATCAAAATGAAAAAGTGACACTATAAGAAATTTCACTTTTGGCGACTAAAGCTTAGTCGCCAATTACTTTTGGCGACTAATATATTTGGTCGCCAGTTTGGTCTCTAATAGTTCGTCAAGGAAGACAATCGGTGACTAAAGTGTTTTTGATAGTCAAAAGTGACCTATCGGCGACTAAATTAGTCGCCCTATGTTTTTTTTAAATAATTAAATATATATTTTTTACTTTTAGTAACTAAATTATTTAATAACCAATTAAGCATGTATATTTGGCAACTAACTATTTGATAGCCAAAAGTTTCACTTTTTGAAAATTGGGGACTAAAAATTTAGTAACCAAAAGTTTCCTTTTTACAATTGACGACTAAAAGTTTAATAGTCAAAAGTTTCACTTTTTGACAATTGGCGACTAAAATTTTAATAACCAAAAGCCAACCTGTGATAGTTGTTTAGTCGCCAAAAGGACTTATTTAGTTTTTATAATTTTTCTGTAATATTTTTTTGCACCACCTGTAACCTGTGCATATACAAAATTATTTATACATTCATTCAATTCTCAACCATTCAATAAAAATATTTATCCACAACTTGTAGCATTCAATTTTCAACCATATATAAAACTTAACTATTAATCGTATATATCAAAGAAAATAAGAATCCATAAATATAGTATAATCTAACAAATACATATACTATCCAAACCAATAACTAAAATCCAAATTTAAAAAAAAAAAAATCTTAATAACAAAACATATCAAGTGTACATGTTTTTCATAAACAAAAAATAAAATGAAAATTGCGCCCATGCAAACATCATCAATCTAGCCCAAAAACATCACTGTATCCATGCCAACATCATCAATCTGTAACAAAAACCACTGAGGTAACTAATCAGAAATGCATAGCTTGATTTTTGTTTAAACAGAATATGGTTCAATTTATTTAACAAGTAATTTAGCTTATGGAGAAGGAAAAATTAGATAACTAACTCAATTGAATTTAGATGAATAGCACAATGAATATATCAGTTGATATACCAATTGAATATATCAATTGTCACTTCAGCAATAATCTCCGTTCTAGTGAATGGTGCACCTACCGAGGAATTTTCCCCTCATAGGGGACTTAGGCAGGGCGACCCACTTTCACCATTCCTCTTCAACATAGTGGCGGAAGGCCTTAACATCCTCCGAGTCAGAGCCTTTAATCTTGGAATTCTCAAAAGAGTGGTTGTTGGATCTAACAATGTACTCATCTCACATTTGCAATTTGCAGATGACTCAATCCTCTTTTGTGAAGCTGATTGGGATCAATTGGTGTCCATAAAAGAGTTCTAAGATGCTTTGAAGTCTTATCCGGTCTCAAAATTAACTACCACAAGAGTGTAGTGTGTGGTGTTGGTGTGGCTGATGAATGTACAAACACTTTTGCCTCTCTTCTTAATTGTAAGGTGCAGAATCTCCCTTTAAAATTTTTGGGGCTGCCTCTAGGTGCAAACCCTGGAAGAAAATCTACCTGGAAGCCTATTATTGATAAATCAAGTCTAGATTGTCAGGTTGAAAGAGAAAACTGCTGTTCTTCGCTGGTAGATTAACTTTGATAAAGTCTACTCTCTCCAGCTTACCTGTTTACTTTCTTTCTTTGTTTAAAATGCCTGAAGGAGTGGCTAAAGAAATAGAAAGGTTGGAGGCCGCATTCTTATGGGGTGGTAGTGATCTTAAAAGAAAAGCTCATTTAGTAAAATGGGAGGAAGTTACAAAGAGAATTGATCAAGGTGGATTAGGCATCAGAAGGATTAGAGATGTTAATGTGTGTCTCCTTCTCAAGTGGTGGTGGAAATTTGGAAACCAAACCAAGGCACTCTGGAGGTCAGTGGTATGCAGCAAATATAAAATCAATGAATCTTGTTGGCTTCCACTTTTGAGCTCTTCTTATAAACATTCTAAACTATGGAGTGACATTTTATCAATTGGGGTTTTTAACAGTCCTATTTGCAACTTCTTTGTGGACAACTGTTCTATTAAGGTTGGGAATGGTACCAGAATTAGATTCTGGTTGGATATATGGTGCAATGGTTTGTGTCTGAAATCTTCTTTTCCTCTGCTCTATAATCTGTCATCTGATAAGGAAGGCTCTCTACATAATTTTTTTGTAAGGAAAACAAGCCCAAATGATTGGAACCTCCCTCATAGAAAAGAGCTATATTCATGGAAATTGGCTGAAGAAGTGAGATTGTATACTCTTTTATCCTCTGCTCCAACTTTATGTTTTGACTGTGAAGATTGTCAAGTCTGGTGCAATGATTCAGGTTCTGGTTTTTCTGCTTCTGCTCTGTATTCCAACAGTTCATCTCTTCTTGGCCCTTACCTGAAGATAAACAGATGTGTTTGGAATTCATTATTGCCCCCCAGAGTCTCTTTCTTTTCATGGCTTGCCTGGAAAAATAGGATCAAAAGTGCAGATTTTCTGCTAAAAATTGGGATTCTAGACAGCAATGCATCACCCCTTTGTCACTTTTGCAGCTCTGAGCTAGAAACTGCTTCTCATGTTCTGCTGCACTGCCATTTTTCTTGGTCAATCTGGTGTGCTGTTGTTGAGGAATGGGGACTACAACAGTGCATTCCTAAGTCAGTAGATGGTCTACTTTCTTAGTGGATGAGTAGGAAATTTAATAAGCTTCACAGATTAATTTGAAGAGCAACCCCATTAATTGTTATTTGGTCTATTTGGAAAATCAGAAATGAAAGTGTGTTTTCTAATGCACAACCCACCTATACAGGTCTTCTTGAACTCATCAAATTCAGAGCTGCAGTTTGGCTAAAAGCTTCCATCGAGGACTTCCCCTACTCAGTGGATGATCTTGTCTACAACTGGAAACAGATCAGAGGTGGAAAATAGTGTTTTGGAATCTATTTTCAAATATCTAGGCTGAATTTTGTTTGTGCTGCCGTAATCTCCTCTAAACTGCAGTAATTTTGCTGTCTGGATTTCAGTTGTTTGGTGTTTTGTGCTGCTATAGTTCTCTATCTGTTGTAATACTGCTAAATTTCTCTAATTCTTTCTGGCTTAGAAGTAGCAGTGGTTTTGCTCCTTATGGTTTAGTTGTTGTCCACATTTATCAGATCAGTGTGGCGATTGGTCTAGTCTCTCTATCAGTGTGAAGATTGCTCCTTCTGATTCAGTGTCGGTGTGTTCTATTTTGGTGTGTGAAGCTAGGTCTGGTGTGGGTGACTCTGTCTATGTGTTCACCAGTCTACCATCTGTTACTATCAGTTTGTCTCCTATCAGATTATCTTCCAGTTTTGGTGCTTAGTTACAAGGCTTAGAATAGTTTATCTATTTGTTTATTTTTTTTGCTGCTTTCTTTTGTTGGTGCCTCACCAACTGGCGCTTGGAGCTTTTTCTTAGCTCCAACCTCCTCTCTATTGATGTAATATTTCATTCTTTGTATGTTTCATCAATAAAGATTTTGTTTTTGCCGATCAAAAAAAAGACTAAATAAAAAATCAATGAATGATTCCTTTTAACTTAACAGATTGTTATTTCAAAGATTTCAACTAAAATGGGAAAAAATAACGATTTATGAGGATATAACACACATTTTCTGTTATACAGCAACAAAGTGAGTTTATCAATTAGCTATGACAATTAATTTAAGATGAATATCACAATATTTATTATAACTGATATAACAAGACTAAATGAGGGAAAATTAGTAAAATAGCTAATTGAAAACACTATGAATGATTTTTGATTTAACAGATTAAGATTTGGAGCAGTTGTGGGCTTGATTCAGTACATGCTTGTGGTTTAGAATTTTGAGAAGCCTAAGAGACATTTTATCAAACAGTTTGAAGGCAAAAAAAAAAACATCCTTTGTTATAAGAATCCAAAACAACAACCCATCTTGAAGGTTTGATTTGGTCATTTACAGAGGGATTGAAGAGACCGATTCAGCGAGGTTTAGGGCAGAAATCGAGACAGCTATGGCGCTCTCCTTCATCTTTGCCCCCTTAACGCCCCTTTTCGGTTAAGTTCAATGCATTTTGGGCTCTAACTCTCAACCTACACCTGCTAATTACATTCCGTCTTTTGTCATAGAGAAGGTGGCTGTGACATCCGTACGGTGGTTTGAGGGCTATTTCATATTTTCGCCCACTTAACTCCCTTTTCCGATTAAGTTTAATGTGTTTTCGGCTCTAACTCTCAACCGACGCATGCTAAATTACATTTCATCTATTGTCACAGGTCGTATTTGTCACAGGAAAACTGGTCGTGATATCCATATGGTGGTTCTGGGGCTATTTCACTTTTTCACACCCTTAATGTCCTTTTTCAATTAAGTTTAATGCATTTTTGGCTCTAAATCCCAACCTACGTGTGCTAATTACATTCATTCTATTGGCATAGGTCCTATTTGTCACAGAGAAGCTAGTTGTGACATCCGTACGGTGGTTCGGGGCTATTTCACAGTTTCGCCCACTTAATGCCATTTTTCGGTTAAGTTTAAGGCGTTTTCAGCTCTAACTTCCAACCTACACGTGCTAATTACATTTCATCTGTTGTCGCAGGTCCTATTTGTCATGGGGAAACTGGCTGTGACATTCATATGATGGTTCGGGGGCTGTTTCACATTTTCGTTTCCTTAATGCCTTTTTTTCATTAAGTTTAAGGCGTTTTCGGTTCTTACTCCCAACCTACACATGCTAATTACATTCTGTCTGTTGTCATAGGTCCTATTTATCATGGGGAAGCTTGTTGTGACATCCCTATGGTGATTCAGGGCTGTTTCGCATTTTTGCCCGCTTAATGCCTTTTTTTGGTTAA